CCTAAACCCTAAACCCTAAAAGGTATACTAAAGGGACTCACAGCTCCAATCATCCTTAAACCATGTTCCAACCGTCTGGAGTGCACTGTTGGGGCTTTTGTTCGCTGATTGTAGGCTTTCGGGTGTAGGGTTTAGGGTTTAGGGTTTAGGGTTAGGGTTTAGGGTTTTTGATTATAGGGTTCGGGAGGCTTCGGCTTTGAGGGTTGCTTTTGCCGGTGGCTCACGCTTTCTATGCCAAGGGTGCGGTTAGAGCCCTGACATAGCAACCTAAGTACTAAACCCTAAACCCTCAACCCTCAACCCTAAACCCTAAACCCTCAAGCCTAAACCGATGGTTGCGAGCCGGTTCGAAGTGTGACCAACGCGATGTAGTTATCCGGTTTAGGGTTTAGGGTTTAGGGTTTAGAGTTTAGAGTTTAGTGGTTGGGGTCGTCCATAAGGACTCAATCCGCAGAGTCTTCAACCACCAGGCTTAGGGCCCGTTTTCACCGAGCCGTTGGCCCCCAAGCATGCGCGGCCCAGCTTCCTCAACGCCGAAAACCCTGAGGGAGCGTACTTCGGATCCGCCGTGGGGTGTTGCTGTAAGGCAATACCCTGCGATGGAGGGCCTAGGTCTCGCTCTTCTGCCCTGCGCAGAGTACTCGATGCTACCGGCAGGTGCTAAAGGGCAAATCCTGCCGTAGAGCGTTTGCTAGTCGTAGAGGGAGATAAGGAATTGCAAACATGAGAATGGTACCCAGAGCCACAAAGTAAATAATACCGGTAGCCTCACCTGACAAGACGTCGATGAGGTCTCTGACAAGAAGTGCCTCCAGTAGCCCGAAGTGGGCCTGCAGGGATGTTAGAGCCCAGGTTGCCCAGTAACCTAGGATTAACAAGGGTGCCCCTTTTTTGCTTACAGGGGTTTATAGGGGAACCTAGAGCCCCCGAAAAAGGGAATAAGGGCACGACTGGGCATCCTAGGAGCCTTGGCGAGGCTCTTGCAGTCCAGAGCTCGCTCTCCTCCGAGCATTGTCGAGATCCCGGCAAGCAGCTCGGCAGCTGCTGCAAGCAAGAGCCGAGCGACGTGAGACAATGCCAAGAGAGATAGAATCTGCATCGGTTTAGGGTTTAGGGTTTAGGGTTTATAGGGTTTAGGGTTTAGGGTTTAGGGTTTTAGGGTTTAGGCCAGCGTTCCCAGGATGCCGTCCCGAGGCATGAAGATGAGGACAGCGAGACAGCCCATGGCTAGGACGCTCAGGCCCAGCACGAGGACACAACGGTTCCGGGTCCAGGCCATGGCTCCCACGTTGCCGAAAGCCACGCGGGTTTAGGGTTAGGGTTTAGGGTTAGGGCTTAGGGTTTAGGGTTTAGGGCTTAGGGCTTAGGGTTTAGGGCTAAGAGCAGCTTGCAGCAGAGGTGTACAGAGTCGCATATATATGGTTGGACATGTCTAGAGCCAGCCCCTACCCCCCCGGCTTAACCCCCTTTTTCTCCAAAGCACCTTCAACATTAGACAGAAGCATTGTGTTGCAGGATGCTAAATCCCAAACAGCCCGGCGACGTTCGAGATCCTAGCTACCCTAGTTGAGTCCATTGCCGGAAGTAGGATTCGTAGGATCCTAAAAGCTCCAAAAGGTTGAAGGTTACCCACTCAGCTAAGCCGGTGCCTCAAGGGTTCACGGCCCAGGGTGGAAGATTTGGGGGTAGCAGGGAGTTGCTGTTGGGGCCTGGAGTTTTGAGGGCACGGATAGAGCCATGATCAACGCTACTTACAGAATCCAAATCGCCCGAGTCGAGTCAAGATGCCTGGCTGCCCCTGAACATCTATACCCAGGAGTAACCTAGGAATGAAAAGGGTACCCTTTTGGTTTTAAAGGGGATTGTAAGGGAACCCCAACCCGAAAAAAAGGAAATAAGGGCCTACTCCGGGTCCTAGACATCTTGATCAAACGTTGAACCCGTGGCCCCCAGCTATCTTTGTAGGTCCAAGCGCCCGTACATGACTGCGTGACATCTCTAGGATTGGTAGTTGTTGGATCCACAAAGTCTAGGCCCAGGAGTCACCTGGGAATAATGAGGGTGCCCTTTTGGTCTGAAGGGGGTTACAAGGGAACCCACACCCTTAAAAAAGGGAATAAAGGCCTAGTTCGGGTTTAGGGTTTAGGGCTTAGGGCTTAGGGCTTAGGGTTTAGGGTTTAGGGCAAGGTTTAGGGTTTAGGGTGTAGGGTTTAGGGTTTAGGGTTTACAAGGCCTGTCGGACTCTCTGTTGGAGACAAAGCTCCGTGGGTGCATATGGGGTGGAGTCCGGTGAAGGCAGCAGAGGAACCTTCAAGGAACATCGAACTCCTTAGACTTACTGTTGGTCAGTAGGGAATGAAGGAATGGGTGTACCCTATGTCATCCCTTAAAGGGTATATATAGGGGGATGTGGGGTACCTCATGCCCTATTTCCCTACTAACCAACAGTAAGTAGAACCACAAGAAATTCTCAGACAGACCGTCGAGATCCTGCACATCCACATCCGACAGGAGCCAGCACACCGGCACCCTAAACCCTAAACCCTAAACCCTAAACCCTCAACCCTAAACCCTAAATCCTCCAGAGGAGGAACCTGCTCTGCACCTACCAGCTCGGATGGCCCTAAGAACCCTCTCTCTGAAAAAGGTTCCTGAATATGATCCCTCTGAAACCCAAAAAGGGAGACATGTCCCAAGGGCCTATTGAGCCAAGCTCCATGAACCAGGCTCCACGAACCAAACCCTAAACCCGAAACCCGAAACCCTAAACCTAAACCCTAAACGCTCCTTGCCCTGAAATATAGTATTGTCAAGATGTCAAAAGGCCCGGTGCAATTTTGCTGAAACAACTTGCGTCGCCTTGGCTCAGACTTTGGCCAGGTGGCACGTTAACGGAGCTGCGTCCCCGAACCGAACTTAAGACTTGGGACCTGGAGGGTTTAGGGTTTAGGGTTTAGGGTTTAGGGTTTAGGGTTTAGGGTTTAGGCTTTAGGCTTTGGGCTTTGGGCTTTGGGCTTGAAGCCCAAAGGATTCGGTTCTAGGGTTTAGGGCCTATAGGTCTTTGCGGCATAGGGGATATTTACAATCGTAATGGTCAGGTAATCGACAATTGCTAGATGCATTGAAACTCATGACTTTGAAAATGAACTAAACATAGACAATGAATTCTATGTAATGATGCACCATCTACCTGTGGCTCGTCATTTAGATGCAATTGAAGTGGTTACAGGCACAGAAAGTCAAATAAAGGTTATGTCACAACCGTTTCTAAAACTATAGGTATGATAGACAAAATAGGTACGGCCCCACAAGCTATTAACTAAGGAAAAGAGCGGATCTCTACAAAACTCGCGGTGAAAGAACCCTCCCCACATCGGCTCAGCAGAACAGCACATCCTCCAACCGAAAACCTTCGTCTGCTAATTACTGTTTGATGTTGGGATGTTCCCTCTTCAACTAACAGTCCTCAATAGGGATTATAATGGGGTGGGTACTATAATCCCCACTAAGGACTGTTAGTATAAGGGGGAACATCCCAATGTTTAATATTGAATCTCCAAAACCCTAAACCTGAACCCGAAAGCCTAAACCCTAAACCCTAAACCATAACCGGTAACCCTCAGCGCCCTAAATCAGCACCGCTCAGCGCGGCTCGCCGACGATCTCGCCCACCACGGAGAAGCCTGTTCTGAAGCATACCGAATGGGCTCTGTATTCTCGGGGTTTTGTAGTTCAGGATTCGGGGACGGTTTAGGGTTTAGGGTTTAGGGTTTAGGGGTTAGGGCACCAGGCAGCTGAATGTGGCTGCCATCAGCCATCCCGTTACAGAGATGCTGAAGCATGAAGCTTTGCAACCCACAGGTTCATGTCAGCCTGCCCAGGTGCGCCCAGTTTAGGGTTTAGGGTTTAGGGTTCAGGGTTCAGGGTTTAGGGTAGGTGCGCCAAGTGTCTGTAGGCTTCCGTGATCCGTACTCGCACCAGGCGCCCAAGAAGGTCCTGGCGGAGGATTTAGAGCTTCGGCCCTTCAGGCCGCTTGGGCTACGAGAAAATCCAAAGACCTTCGATCCTTGCTTCTGCACATTTCTCCCTCTCAACATCGGGATTCCGAAGATTCTTGCCCTGAGTTTGGGTTTTTGGCCATGATGCGTGCTCAAGACCTTTCAGGTTCTGGCTGGTGGTTCAAGGCACTAAGCCAACCCCCGATCTCCCTTTGGCCGGGCTCGTCTTTTGAGTCTAAGGTTTGGATCTTGAGGTTGAGGGTTAGGTTGACAGCATAGGGTTCAAGCCCCTGCTCGCACCCAATCATCCCTCCTACTTAGGGTGCACGATTTGGGTACCCAGTACACATCAGGGAAAGCGACGTGTGAAGCCTACTGCCTTCCATGGTGATGGTAGTAGTTGTTCCGCCTCTTGCCGCCTTCATAAAGCCTTCAGCAGCTACCAGACATTCACCCAACTCACCACCAAAGCCCTAAACCCTAAACCCTAAACCCTGAACCCTGAACCCTAAACCCTCCACCCTAAAGCCTAAACCCTAAACCCTAAACGGGTTTCTTCGCACGCAAGGCACCAGACGGAGACAAGTTCTCGCGGCTGTCAGCGGCAGCAATGCTCAAAAGAACAGCTGGGATGCTCGCCCTTTCAAAGAGGGGGCTGAGCCTCCTGACCTACCCTAAACCCTAAATCCTAAACCCTAAACCCTAAACCCTAAACCCTAAACCCTAAACCCTAACCCGAAACCATACAGCTTGCCCTTCCAGACCAAAGCCTCAAGTAAGAGACAGAGTGAAAAGCTTGGCATTCACAGCTTTCCAGGGACGAAAGGAGGGACCCTCACGAGGGACCTCAGGGTCTATTCAGGGGCTATTCGGGGGGAACTTAGGTATCTTGGGACTGTGTAAGGCATATGTAGGGGGTTTAGGGTTTAGGGTTTAGGGTTGGTTGTTTTGGGGAATCAGATGAAGGGTCCCTTCTAGGGGTCCCCTCTTTCTATACCCCTCCTAGAGCTTGGCAGCAGGGGCGTCAGGCTGGTGGGCCGGAAGATCTGGCATGCCCTCGCCCACGTGAACCACGGCGGGGCCGTCAGAGTGCACGCCCGGGGGTAGATGCGTCCACTCCTGAGGAACGAACCCCTGGCTGGTTCTTAGTAGGGAACCTCATACAATCCATAAAAGGGTATATTTTTGGGGCCCTAGTTCCCTCATTCCCTACGAAGAACCAGGGGGTTGTTCCGGATGAGGCTTAGGAAGGCGAGGCGTTGCGCAAAGAGGAGTCGGCATGGAGCTGCACTGGCATTTCTTGAAGTTGCCATCACACCTCTGATCTCCTCCCAAGCACACACGCCACTAAGACTCCCACTGTGCTCTCAGCCGTAGTCTGCCATCTTCCGCCCCCCCCCCGTCCCACCTGAAGGCGCAAAAACCTACGTCCAAAACCCCGAAAGCATCAAGCCCTCCAACTCCAAGCCCTATGCCCCAGAAATCGGAGCAAAGCCAAGGCACCGGGCGCATGTAGATACGAATCGGCTGGGATCCCACATCCAGCACGGGCTCCACTCGTGGCATGGCCTGCAGGGCCTCTTCACTGCCATAGAGGCCGGCGTACCTTAGGTTTAGGGTTTAGGGTTTAGGGTTTAGGGTTTAGGGTTTAGGGTTTAGGGTTTAGGGTTTAGGGTTTCGGGTTTCGGGTTTCGAAGCTCCGGCCCTGCCCCACTTGAACTGGCTGGAAATCTCTCTGACCCAACATGCCCCCAAGCCCTGCCACAACGTGCTGCCCTCAACCCGAACCCGGAGAGCCCAATACCCCTTAATTAAGGAATATACCTTAAACCATATTAAGGATCCCTATATAAATTAAGCAATATTCCCTAGTTAAGGGATATTGGGCTCTTTGGGAACTTTCGGTCACCAAAGCCGTGACCCCCTAAGTCACCTCAGCTCTGCTGGGGCACTTGGAGATGAGGTTCAGGGCGCCTTTCGGCTGCGAAGGCCTCGGCGACCCGAAGCCGCACCCTGGAGCCTACGCAGCCTAAAAACCAAGGAGGCCTTCGAAGGGCGGGAGCCACAACAAACAACAGCGCAGCAGCAACGGCAGCGGCAGCGGCAGCGGCAGCGGCAGCAGCAGCAGCAGCAGCAGCAGCAAGAGCAGCAAGAGCAGCAAGAAACATCAAGTTTGTCGAGCAGCAGGACGAGCGACTGCATGATGATGAAGGTTGGAGGGGGTAAACGGAAGTTGGAATCCTGCGTGAAGCGGATTGAGGCGGTGGCAGACTTGTCACCCAGTAAGCCTAAAGGTTTGGGCAGAAGATAGTGTCTACACCGAAGAAACTCGCAGACTCCCTTCATCAGGTCTTGCATCAAAGCACACCATGCATGCCTCAAAAGCTTAAAGACCTTTAGCTATAAGCAGAAAGGGTTAACCTCCCAGGTCGACCAAAACGAGGGTGCTCTCCCTAGGACGGCCCTTAAAAGCCTCTGAAAAATATTCCTGAATATGATCCAGTGAAACCCAGTAAGGAAAAATAAAAGTTCCAAAGGCCTAGCTAGTGACTTGAGGCCACGCCCCAAAGCTCAACGTGACACCATGAATCACACAGAATCTGGAGGCCCAAGCCCGATATGCTACCTTCCGAACCTAAAGGCCGGGAGCCTTACAAGGCACAGAAACACATCACTCTTCATCACCCCTCACGTCCTGTGATGCGTGGAGCATGAGAGCGTCCTGCGGGGACACCCAACGGACGTCATCGACCTCCTGACGCAAATCTCAGTGCGAAAAGGCCCGGTAGAGGCAGCAGGACTTGTGCCGTTCAATATGGTGGACGCCTGTGAACTTTGGTAAGAACTGTTGCGTTTGTGTCATGTGTTGCCAGTCCAACTTCCTGCCCAATCCTGTTAGCACATGCCAGAAAGCTCCTTATGAATTGTGCTGCACATCAATCAGTAGCAGCCATAACGATCAAGGTTAACCTTCATCCCAGAGCAAATCCTACGGCCAAACCTTCATGTTCCAACCCTCTTTCATGCCCGCCCGCCCGCCCGGGTAGGGGATCAAAAAAGAATTTATTTGGGATCAAAAAAATTTATTTCTAGGCGGATCAAAGAAAAACTTATTTGGGATCAAAAATTATTTACTGAAGGCTTCGAAGGCTTGTTGCAAGCGGAGCGGAGGCTGTAAACGCTCAGAAATGCCAGTTTTCTGCGTTCGCAAGCTCTAAATACCGAAAAAATACAGCATTCATGTGGGAACTACTGAAAATAGCAGCATTTCTGAGTTTCCAGAGAGGCTGCAGATACTGTATATAGCAGCAGTTCTGCGCTTTCAGAGGCTGGACATACTGTACACTGCAGCGTTTCTGAGTTTCCAGAGGCTGCAAATACTGTAAATAGCAGCATTTGTGCGCTTTCAGAGGCTGGACATACTGTAAATAGCAGCATTTCTGTGTTTCCAGGTTGCAAATCAATGCTGGCATCTTGGCATCAGAAGTTTCAAAAAAATGCGTATACTCTGAAGCAAGCCAGAACGATTTGGCGGGGGGTTGGGGGGGGCGTGCCCCCCCCAACCCCCAAACAGAATTCTCGCATCATGGGTTTCGAAAGTATGCTGAAGCACCTGGCACGACTTAAAATAAAACGGGGGGTTAGGGGGGTGCAGGCTCGCATCAGAGGCGTCGAAACACGCGTATACTTTGAAGCAAGCTGGCACGACTTCAATGAAGCGGGGGGTTGTTGGGGTGGGCCCCGCCCCCCATTGGCAAACGCAATGCTCGCATAATGGGTTTCGAAAAGATGCGTATGCTTTGAAGCAAGCTGGCACGACTTCTTCCTTGTTTTTGTTTTTTGTCTTTCATTGTTCTTTCTTTCTTGCTTTCTTTCTTGATTTCTTGATTTATTCCTTCCTTCCTTCCTTCCTTCCTTCCTTGCTCCCTTGCTTCCTTGCTTCCTTGCTTCCTTGCTTCTTTGCTTCCTTGCTTCCTTGCTTCCTTGCTTCCTTGCTTGCTTCCTTCCTTCCTGCCTTCCTTCCTTCCTTTCGTCCTTCCGCCCTTTCTTCTCTCCCTCCCTCCCTCCTTTTCTCCCAACCTCCCTCCGGTTCCCTCTCTCCAGCGGAAGAACCGAATAAATTATTTTTTGATCCTAAATAAATTTTTCTTGATCCTAAATAAATTTTTCTTGATCCTAAATAACTTTTTTTTGATCCGCATCCCCCCCCCCCCCCCCCCCCCCCCCCCGCCCCCACCCCCCCCACACCTCTTATGATTTTAACAGGGATGGGCTTCCTGTGAATTTAGAAGGACAGAGGCCCCCAGCAATTGCTTTCAAAGATTCGCCGCGCGAAATATTTCTTACCATGCCCGGAAGACTCGACTTCATAGCGGATATACCACAAGGCACGAAGGCCTGGCAAGCTTGACTTTCTAGAGGAAGCCCGTACTAAACAGGGTGCAACATTACGCCACGAGAACATAACTTCGATGCCAAGCCTGCGAGCTACCTCAGTTCAGCGAGGATTTCGTGTCCATCATGACGACAGAGGGAAGTGCAACACCAGGCACTCAGGGCCTAAAACCTTCAAACCTACACCGAACCAGGTGTAGGTTTGGGGGCCCTACAAAAAACACATTTCTGGTGGCTGCAGAAGGCTAACAAACAGGGATTAAGGGTAGCCAAGATTAAAACAAAATGTCAAGATGTTCAAACCTACCAACCTACCCAAGATGAACCTTAAGACTGAAAAAACCTCAGGACCCTAAGCCCTAAGCCCCAAGCCCTAAACCCGAAACCCGAAACCCTAAACCCTAAACCCTAAACCCTAAACCCGAGCACTGTGGTGGGGCTGGCCTTGGGATCCCCCTTCACGGGCAGAGTGGCTGCTGCGGGGTTCGTCGCCCGGGCGAGGAAGAAGCGGGTGTCGTAGCGGTACTTCTCCTGGACCCCAGATGTCGGTTTCAGTTTGGTCCCCGTACTTTATTGGGGTCTTTATTTATGAGGGAATCCTACGATTTGGGGGTCTATTTTAGGGCCGCGTATTTTCATAAACCCCCATATCTTACATGGCCTTGGCTTAGGATTGTTCAGTGCAGTGGGTAGGAAGATGGTTTGTTGGCTCAGAGTTTACTAGTGAGTGTGCCCTGAACCTTAAATGGAAATGATTGCTTTTTCTGCGGGATTGCAAACTGAATAGCGTTAGGAGCTACTACTATTTGCTTAAGACCCCCACAAAATATCAAGTAACAATCCCTATATTGCCCTTATAAGGAAGAATATGAGAATATATATATATATATATATATATATTTGTTTTTCTTTTTTGTGTTTTTTTTTGGGGGGGGAGGGGGGGGGGGGGTGGGGAGGGTCTTAAGCAAGTAGTAGATTAGAAGCTTGGCTGCCAACCTGAACCTTGAGCCCGACGACTTCTGCACGGATTTGAAATGTCGTCAGGGAAGGTGACTTGCGAACGCCCCTAAACCCTAAACCCTAAACCCTAAACCCTAAACCCTAAACCCTAAACCCTAAACCCTAAACCCTAAACCCTAAACCCTAAACCCTAAACCCTAAACCCTAAACCCTAAACCCTAAACCCTAAACCTTCGCTCGTCGCTAATGGCAAGAATAGCCATCAAGGAATCACCATAATTGTGCAATTTGCCTCCACTTATAGGGTTTCGGTGAACACTACAAGTGCCCGCAACTCCTTAGTCTCCTTAGTCTCCGAAGGAACCCTAAACCCTAAACACCTAAACCCTAAACCCTAAACCCTAGACCCTAAACCCTAAACCCTAAACCCTAAACCCTCTTCGCGCCTGCTTCGGCGTCACCCAGTGCGCGAAGGGTGTGAGTCGCGCGAGTTGCGCCGCGCCTTGCGCTGGGGCACTTCGGTCCCAAAGGGTCCTAAGTACCTACACAGTAGAAAGTAGGTTTAGGGTTTAGGGTTTAGGGTTTAGGGTTTAGGGTTTGGGGTTTAGGGTTTAGGGTTTAGGGTTTATGGCTTAGGGCTTACGGTTTAGGGTTTAGGGTTTAGGGCTTAGGGTTTCTATCATAGGAATTACTAGTACGGTTTGGGTAAGTGTCCCCCATATAGGTACTTAGGATCCTATGGGACGCAGGATCGGAGGTTGGGATGGGGTTCTCGATAGCCGCTGCGTTTACATCCACGGTTTCCAAAGAAGATACTGGCAGATAAGCAAGGCAGCGTACATGAATGACGCAAGATCCACCAAACTTTGGCATCGGAAACAGATGCAAGCACATGATTTGCTACCAAGCGGGCTAAGCCGAGGGCGACCGGTATGCACTGCACAAGCCTGATCAATATCAATCGTCAAACAACAGAAGCTCCTAAACCCTAAACCCGAAACCCTAAGCCCGAAACCCTCTTGCCGATCGTCTGCGCCTAGTTCTGGTGAAGAAGAGCCAACACCCGCTCTGCCATCAGATTCGAAGTGCACGCCTGTCTCCTTGTCTGTGTTCGAGGCTTACAGTTGCTTCGCCTCCAGAACTCGACCCAAAACCCCAAACCCTAAGCCGTTTCCTGCATACAACTCGGAACCCGGAGCTTTGTAAACCTGCAGCCCTTGCTATGACTGCTATGAGACATCACAAAGCCTGAAACGTTGAACCTTGGGAGCCCTCGAAGAACAAAATGAACCTCGAAGAAAAAATGAATGCTTGGATGGGGGTTGCCTGGGTATGCAGGCAGATCATACACCCGTCTGGCACCGACCTTTCTGAATATTGAATGCTGACGACGCATGTGAAATCATCCCACTGCCACGTTGTGGTCGAACTTTCCTGCTCCAGTCAGATCCGCCCGCGTATTGACAACAACCTGAAGCTTCCTCAAGCTTCTGAACATTCGGAACCATCCCTTTTTCCGACGACAAAGTATAAACTCATTCCCCCCCGGGCCTCTGCCACCCTGGCCGGAATAATCAGCACACAACCCGCTTAGTTGTTTAGGGTTTAGGGTTTAGGGTCGCCCCCAAGATGGCACTAAGACTCTTCCCACAGCTCGCGGAGCGCGGCGACGCGGTACTCGGCCAGCGTCTCCGGTGACCGGATCCGCGCGGCGTACTCCTGATCTGCCTCGTCCACGCAGCCTCCTGGCTGGGGGTTTAGGGTTTGGGGTTGAGGGTTTAGGGTTTAGGGTTTAGGGTTTAGGGATCAGATAATTAGGGAACCCGAAACCTAAACCCTAAACCCACTGCCCTAAGCCCTGTGAGGATCTCGCTTCTTCAGCCGTGTGCCCCAGCTGAGAAGTAGACGTCGACCTGCCTTAAATAACTCAATATAAGACATTTTACGTCAATGCAGCCGTGACTGTCATAAGGAGCATCTAGCACAGTCTCCAAGTGATGGCACAGGCAACCCCTATCGGGGAAACATGGGAAACTTCGACCGCAAATGTCCATGTCCACATTAGCCATACGAACCTTTCCAGGTGCATGTGGTGCTACTCCTAATCCCTAAACCCTAAACCTTAAACCCCTAAACCCTAAACCCTCTGGAGATAATCAAGGTCGCAGAAGGGGTCCTGGGAAGACGTAGGTGTTGGCCATGAACCGGGCCTTTGAGTGGCGCTTGATCATGAGCACCTCGAAGGCCTTGCAGGGCATTGAGGCTTGCATAGTTCCGGCTTGGGGTTTAGGGTTTAGGGTTTAGGGTTTAGGGCTTAGGGCTTAGGGCTTAGGGCTTAGGGTATGGCTTGGGGTGTTCCCACTTATACTAACAGCTCCTTCATAGGGATTATTACAATTGGGGGGGGGGGGGGGGGGGGGGGGTTGGGGGTACTAGAATCCCGATTCAAGGACTGGGGTACATCCGGCGCATACAGGTATACGAAATACATAAATAAGCAAACAAACAAAGGAAGAAACAACAAACCTACAAAAAAAAATGAAATACATGTATATATATATATATATATACAAAACGGGGGACCGTGGGAGTGCGCTTTTTGGCTATTTTTCCTTACATGATACATGCTTTTCATACGAAAAAACGCAGAAAACTAGAAAACACTGTACAAAAACTCGGAAAACTAGAAAAGAATGCAAAAACTCGAAAAAACCAAAAAAGCCAAAAAAACCAAAAAAACAAAAAAAAACAAAAAAACCAAAAAAACCAAAAAAAACAAAAAAAACAAAAAAACCAATTTCCAGGGACTCTTCCATCCAGGGCCCAATTTGCAGGAGTCCTGGAAAATTGTTTTTTTTGGTTTTTTTGGTTTTTTCGAGGAAAACTAGAAAAAATGCAAACACTCGGAAAAACTCGAAAACACCAAAAAAATCAATTTCCAGGGACTCTTCCATCCAGGGCCCAATCTGCAAGAGTCCTGGATTTTTTTTTTTGCTTTTGTTTTTTCGTGTTTTTTGCTTTTTTTCTAGTTTCTGAGTTTTTTACAAGTTTTCTGGACTCTTCCATCCAGGGCCCAATCTACAGGAGTCCTGGATTTTTGATTGTTTTTTGTTGTTTTGTTTTTTTTGTTTTTCGATTCTCCAGCGCGGGGCTTCCGGAAAAATGAAGGACAGCTACTGGGACAACCTACCGATGATGGATTTCCCCCCCCCCCCCACAAGCAAGACCACACGGTGCTCATATTTTGCGAAAGCTTTTGCTGACTAGTGTGTTTCACTGAGACAGGTGTGATAAAAATCTGCGCTATGAAAAATCCACAATCACTATGTATAAAAATCAAAGCGACTTTATTGAAAAATCTTTGTATCATAGCGTGCCTACCGTTATGGCTTGATATTTGCTTTCCTTCATGCAGGGTTGGTTTAATAATATGACTTCTAAGCTAGCTATTGTTCTAGCTGTTTCTTCTAATATAGATCTTCTATACTTGCCCATTTTTTGAGGTAATTTGCATTGTATGTCAAGTCTAGCAGAGTTTGCCCATACGTAAATATCTTGTAATTTATCTTGTTCCCTTTACTAAGAGGAGCTTCTGTAAGAGTTCCAAGCGTGTTATTTGTTGGATTTTCTAGTATTTTGCTTTAAGCATTTTTAAACTCATCATTCAAGATATATAAACTTGTATGATAAGATGGGATAACAAATTCCCATCGACAAAAATGATGATTATTATTGCTGTATATACACATATATATATATATAATATCTGAGTTTAAGGCTCTTTGTCCTATGGATGGATTTATAAGTTATTAGGAAATTGTTAATAGTGCAGTAGAGGGCTCTCTAGATTATTTGCCGCATCTAAAGTGCTGTGCAAAAGTCTACTATAGGAATAGTCTTTCAAAATGATTCTTCAGTATCACTTCAAAATTTAAGCACAATTTGTACTTGCTTTGTCAAATGTATATGTTATAAAAAAAGTCCAGTCCATTCTAGCCTAGCTTGTATAGCTTCATTTTTTGGCTAGAGGTTTTGTGAGAAATCTATGCAGTAAAATTGCTGCCAGAATGATGTTTCGTATTGTTAGAGGCGTTAAATAATATCGTTGACTCTTTATTATAGGCATGGTGTTTGTGAGTTTTATTGCCATTTCATCTATAGACATAGATTCACCTACATGTATTGTTGCCGACCTTCGTAAGTTTACATGCTTTTTGAGTTACAGGAATCATTCATGGGTCATTCCCATAGCTTGTATATGCATCTCAGATAAACCGTTGTTTTATAGAGTTGCAGGTGTGAACTCTGTTTTAAAAGTCTGTTTTTTTGTGAACAAAACACGGTGTTCCGATGCAACGTGTTTCTTTGAAGTCTTTGAATCACAAAAGCCATATTGATGCAACCCAGGTATTCGTCCACCAGTCACGTATTCAACCCCCCTCGAAAAAGCAATACTGAAGAGCTGCATTCACCCCATACCAATCAGCAAGACTAATAAAAAGTAACTATTCCCCTAATAACTCATTCACTTCCTGATAAACAAGACTTGGAACTTACACTCATCCCTCAATAAGCAAGACTTGATATCTATATTCACCATCCCGATATACAAGACTTGAAATCATAATAGCCACCCTCATAACGCATTCACCCCCAATAAGCAAGACTTGGAATCTATATTCACCAACTAATAGCAAGATTTGGAATCATGGTAATCTCAGTCTATTAGGTTCTATACATTCACTACTTGATAAGTAGACTTATAGAATTTATTAGGGTTGGGCGTTTTTATTTATATTAGTGAGTTGTGTAACATGGCAAACCTCATGAAACAAAAAAAACACAAAAAAGTGCACTCCCACAGTCCCCCGGACTCTATATATATGTATGTATAAACATATATACATACACATATTTGTATCTGAGTATATATATATATATGTATGGTAACGCACCCCCACCCCAACCCCCCCCCCCCCACCCCTGTCCTCCCCATGGTCAAGGTACCCCCTCCCTTCCTTTTTTTCGGGTTAAGTTTTTAGGGCTTTAGGGTTTAAGTTTTGGGGCTTGGGCTTAACTCGGCCCTGAAGGTTAAGGGTCCCCAAACCCTAAGCCCTAACGCTAAACCCTTCCACCCCCAAGCTATGCCCTTGTCCGAGAACCCCAAACTTTCAAATCCCGAGGGCCACAACGCCCTATAAGCAACAAAACCCCAAAAGCAGAGGTGACAACTCGCCACCTCTCAAAATGCACAGAATCCCCCTAAACCCTAACCCCCTAAACCCTAAACCCTAAACCCTAAACCCTAAACCCATGGGCACCTTGCCCGGGGCTTCCGCCAGCACCAAGATGGTCGCGGCCGCGCGCGGTGCCGCCATGGCTTGGGGACTTGGAGCTGAAGGCTTAATGGAATGTTTAGGAGGGTTTAGGGTTTAGGGTTTAGGGCTAAGGGTTTAGTGTTTAGGGCTTAGGGTTTAGGAGGGCTGTGGCTCAGGGGATGTTTGGGACTTTCTGGGACAGTCTTCGGAGCCCAGGAATTTCAGCCCTTGAACTCTGATCCCCTCCTGGCTTTTTCTCTTGTACCTCGGGGTTCAGGGTTCAGAGTTCAGACTTCAGGGTTTAGGGTTTCGGGTTTAGGGTTGAGGGTTCGAACGATGGAGGTGCTTGAATGATAGTGTGGTGAACTGTGCTGGAAAGCCAAGGATGCGAATCGAGTCGAGAGGTGCTGCCTCGAAGATGCGAGCTATTTGAAGCATTCTAGGCTGAACGGTAACCAAGGCTTCAAAAGGGTGCCCTTTTTTGCTTAAAGGGGTTTATAAGGGAACCTAAACCCCCCCAAAAAGGGAATAAGGGCACTACTGGGCATCCTAGCATTCATGCCTGAGCATCACAGCTCGGAACTTTTACCGCACGGTACCAGCAGAACGCTGGAACGTGCCTGCAGACAAAAAACAATTTTGAAGTCGAACTAAGCCCTCTGAACCATTGCAAAGACAATGCGTCTATGCCCTCAAACAGCTTAACCCTAGCTGAAATGGGCCTACATGTCACATGCGCGTTCACTGGTGTGACCTTGTGCAGGAAGGCACATCTCTCCCGATCCTAAAGCAACCGAAGCCCTAAACCCTCAAACTACACATGAGCCCCAATCCCTGCAAGGACAATTGCAACCCCAAAGCCTGAATCCCTTCTGTCCTCTGAACGCCCCGGGACGGCACAAAGTCGGCCGTTGCCTCAAGGGGGGGCTTGCGGCCAAGGGCCCTGGGCTCTAAATGTCCCTGAGCTTGGGGCGCAGAGCCTAAACCCTAAACCCTAAACCCTAAACCCTACACCCTAAACCCTAAACCCTAAACCCGCTGCCTTTTGGCTGGTTTTCTCTTTGGCTGCGGTGTGGGCTCTTGAGTTTTAGCACTCGAGGGAATGTGGCTTCGTGAGCTGCGGGTGCGTCAAATCCTCAAGCTTATAGGCTTAGAAGTAGGGTACATATTTCTTGTACCCCCAAAAGGACACCAGGTATATGCACTCACCAATATTACAAAGGAACCTTATATACACTCACCAAAAACGAGTAGTATATACCCTGTTTCATATAAACTTATCAAACTCCATGGTTGTCTCGTCAGGTCGCACAGACCCTTTTCAACCCTGAATGCATGCCAAACAGCAAAGCCTCAACCATAAGCCCTTAAATGTGACAAAGCCTTTTTTCCTATCCGAATTCCAAGTCTGCACCCCTACCCTGGAGCTTGACTCAACCTCCAACTCTACTTAGTTAACATCCTACACCTTAGAGCTTCAACCCTAAACGTTCGCTACAGCCATCAGCTCTTGCTCCAGATGCATCACGAAAGTGACTAAAGCTTGAACATGATAACCCTTCAGACTTAAGCCAAAGGGCTCCCTATTCTGAATCATTACAACCGGATTAACACAACACTACGCCCTCCAAACCCTAAAAGCCCTGAACCTACATACCCTCAACCCTCAACTATCAGTGCCAACCCTCAACCGTCAACCCTCAACCCTCAACCCTCAACCCCTCACCCCTCACCCCTCACCCCTCACCCCTCACCCCTCAACCCTCAACCCTCAACCCCTCACCCCTCACCCCTCACCCCTCACCCCTCACCCCTCACCCCTCAACCCTAAACCCTAAACCCTAAACCCTAAACCCTAAACCTCAGGGCGAGGGGCGGAGCCGGCCACGGACCTCCCCAGCACGCCGCGGGTGCCTCGGAAAAAGTTTCTAGTGCAGGGTTGGGGTGCAGGGTTTAGGGCTTAGGGCTTAGGGTTTAGGGTTTAGAGTTTGGGTGCCTTGCTTGGGTGTTGGGGCTTAGGCTTTGGGGTTTGGAGCACAGTATACACCAAGCCCCCGAAGGCTTAGGATGTCGGGTCTTGGAGAAGCTTTGGGTATGGGGCAAGAAGCCCAGTTTTGGGGTTTCGAAAACCTGCTACACCCCAACCCTAAACCCGAATCCTAAAACCTAAACCAGAGCTTGACACAGGAATTTGGGACCCGCGGGAGCGTACCATGCGCTAGGCGGATTCTACAGCAAGACCCCCAATCCCTGAAGCGCCTGGCATCTAGCGCCCTATGCCTGAATTATGGGTTTTGGGGTTTAGGGGGTTTAGGGTCTAGGGTTTAGGGTTTAGGGTTTAGGGGTTAGTATTTAGGAATTGGGACTAGGGGGTTTAGGGGGTTTAGGGGGTTTAGGGGGTTTAGCGGGTTTAGGGGGTTTAGGGGGTTTAGGGGGTTTAGGTTTAGGGTGTAGGGTTGAGTATTTAGGAATTGGGACTCAGTCAAATCTGACCGAAGCATGAGCCTGACTGAGGCATGAGCCCAACACACAAGTGAAGCCTGCCTCTTGCAGTTACAGGTCTCAGGGGGTTTAGGGTTTAGGGTTTAGGGTTTAGGGTTTAGGGTTTAGGGTTTAGGGTTTAGGGTTTAGGGCCGGTTTTCAGGTTTGCAAATCTTACAGGTTGGGATGTTCCCCCTTATACTGGCAGTCCTTAATCGGGATTCATAGTACCCCCTACTAGAATCCCTATGAAGGACTGTTAGCATAAGGGGGAACATCCCAACTTATAGGGTTGTATAGGGTTGTTAAGGTTCGATGGGGTTTAGGGTTTAGGGTTCAAGGTTTAGGGTTTAGGGTTTAGGGTTGGGGTTTAGGGTTCAGGGTTTTCCCCCTCACCCGATGGCTTGGCTTGCACCAGGCTGCGGGGCATCCACCAGCAACTCGTGGACCTTCTCCACACTGGGAGTTTCGGTTTTATGGTTTAGGGTTTAGGGTTTAGGGTTTAGGGGGTGGCTTAGGGGCTTGGGGTTGTTGAAGGGATTGTCGGGGGTTCATTCTGGGTAATGTCAGGGCTTGTGGTTTGGATGAGGGGCATCGCCGGCTTTGGATTTGTCGGGGCTTGAGATTCAGGGTTTGGGGTGTGGTCCGTTCAAAAGCAAACCCTTCTTAACCGTGTGCGTGAAAAGCCCCTGAAGTAACCCCCGACAAACATGCAAATCTCGGCTGCCGGACCTCACCCAGCATTCGCCGGCTCTGCTCCAGTGAGGTGCGGAGCACCTGGGTACGCAATGGTACGCCGTGGTGTAGGGTTCAGGGATGTTCAGACGGCCCTGCCAAGGACTTCGGCTGCATTGCAAGAGTAGGGGGTGACGATGGCTCTGGGTCACAAGGTGGAAATGAACCAGCGTACTTGAAACCCTAAACCCTAAACCCTAAACCGTAAACCCTCGAGCCAGGGCGCCACGTCACCGAGCCGCTGAAGGCGATCCTTCTTGACGTCCTGCAAAGGAGTCGGCTTTTTCTTGGACTCATGGGAGTTGTGGCATGCACACTACCTTTCAAGACCCAAGTTGCCACGCTAAACTCAAAGGCTCTGTCGGGCTTGGGGCTGCCGCCACGAGCTGCACTTCGTCTTGACTGCAGGGATTGTATGGGATTGGAGGTGCAAAGCTGCAACAAACCTTCGGATCGTGGGCGGTCGGCAGTATGACCGACGAAACACCAAACCTACAGCGCTAGTTGGAGGTTCAAGGGTACTTATAACCCAACTACAAGTGCAGTTATCACCCACTTATAAGCCCCTTAAGTACCCTAACAGGGTTATGATTGGGTTATAAGTACAGTTATTATTGGGTTCATAGGTACTATGAACCTCCAAGTAACCGACAACCGAGGTCACTGAAGTTCAGCCCTCCCAGTTCTACACTCCCCTTAGAACCATGATAAAACAAAATAGTATCCTCTTGGGTTTTATGTAAACAAATATTTAAAAAAAAATCCCAAGGGGGATATAGAGTTTCCGCCAGTCCTCGGGCACCTGATCTGGCCAGGTTGCTGCCAGCGTGTTCGGCCTGAGAGATGTGCACCTAAACCCCTAAACCCCTAAACCCTAAACCCTCAACCCTAAACCCTAAACCCTAAACCCCTAAACCCCTAAACCCCTAAACCCCTAAACCCCTAAACCCCCAAACCCCCAAACCCCAAACCCTAAACCCCTAAACCCTAAACTCTAAACCCTAAACCCTTTTCAAGTTCAGGGTTCTGGGCTCGTAGTCGGAGGCCCTGGTAGGACTGGGGGTTTCCGAAAATAGGGGTAGGGGTCCCTTTAAGGGGATTCTCTTCTAATTGGGGTATAAAAGGGCGTACCTCTATTTTGGGAGATACCCAGTTCAGCCCAAAGGAAGTGCTCAAGGTTCTCGCGATTGCCATCGATGCTGTGGTTGTGACTGCTACTGCTCTGACCATTGTGAACTTGGGGTTTCGCGCTTCCTGCTTAGGCACAGCCACTATACCCTTTTCGTTGCAACCCTGACACAAGAACCCAAACGCTGCTGCCGAGGTCTACACCTGGGAGAGTATGCGGCCAGGTTGACTGTCAGGAAGCCAACTTCCTGCCAGGACCCCCAAACTAAGCTTCCACGAAGCTTCCAAGCAAATTGTTGCAAGAACCCGCCCCCAAGGCGACGCAAACTAAGGCTTCGAAAGCTTATTTTGGCTTTTGGCGGTATCTGGATGAGGCCCCAAGTCGGACGTAAAGCCCCATGCCCTGATCCCCCCCCCTCCGGATATGCAGAAAAGCTTCAGTCGGGTTTAGGGTTTCGGGTGGTGCCAATGCAGGTTATATCGGGTTTGGATTCTGGTTCGCGTGGTGTGATAGTCTAAGTTTCAGGCCTTTCCCCTTCAAAGTCAGATGATGCTGCATCCCTATGCCCTCAGCCCCAAGCCTTTAGGTTTAGGGTTTAGGGTTTAGGGTTTAGGGTTTAGGGTTTAGGGTTTAGGGTTTAGGGTTTAGGGTTGAGGGTTTAGGGTTTAGGGTTTAGGGTGTATTTAGGGTTTAGGGTTTAGGGTTTTTGGGTTTTAGGGTTTTAGTGTTTAGTGTTTAGGGTTTAGGTGTTTAGGGTTTAGGGTTTAGGGTCCCACACCCCAAACCCGGTCATTCAACGGCCTCGACTAGCTCGACCGTGCGCTGGAACTGCTCCTCGGTCCTTACTCGGAGCACATTGTTTACAGTCACGGAACCCTAAACCCTAAACCCTAAACCCCAAACCCCAAACCCCAAACCCTATACCCTAAACCCTAAACCCTAATGCAAGCCTCGTGGTTGGAGAGTTGAAGGAGTGCCAAAAACTGAGGGCTTGGGGCCGTTGGGATGATCCCTAAAGCCTGGATAGTCTGAAACTCCTACATAAACCCTAAACCCTAAACCCTAAACCCTAAACCCTAAACCCTGAACCCTGAACCCGAAACTCCTAAACACAACACAAGACTGAAGAGTTGGGGAAGGCAGAAATCATCGGTTTGCTTCAGCTACCCCGGAAGAGAACGATACACCCTCAACCCTAAATCTGTCAAAGGGTAGCTCTGGAAGGTACGCGGATGCCACCTTTGCTTTGCCTTGCCCTTGCCTTTAGCACCTTTGGCTTTGCCCTTGTTTGCCCTTGCCCTGGTGTTTTTGCCTTTGCCTCGGTGCTGCCACGGGCATCCATGGAACACCCCCATGCCACAGTTTGCGGAGTTGGGAATCCGGATGGTCTCCAAGGCACTGCATGACTCGAATGCCCAGCCGCCAATGCTAGTCACCGAATCTGGAATCTCCACATTCTTCAAGGCAGCGCAGGAATAGAACGCGCGATGCCCAACACTTGCCACAGAGTTGCCAATCTGGATGGTCTCCAAGGCACTGCATAACACGAAGGCTTCTTCGCCAATGCTAGTCACCGAGTCCGGGATCTCCACGTGCTGCAGAGCTACACAGCCCTGAAAGGCACGCTCCTGAGTTCTGGCCACCGAGCTGGGGATGTTCACTTCTTGAAGCTCTCTACAGAAACTGAAGGCTGAGCTCTTGACGTGAACTGTACCCATCGGGATTTCAACCCATTACCAGCTCCTCACCTGAGGTTCTCGCTGCAGTTTGGATGATGTCTTTGAAACGGACCAGGGTCATGACCTGAGGGTCCCAGACTTTGCTTTCAGGCTCCAGAACTTCTGCAGTCTCAGATACCAAACGCGAGCCGTAGCCTTTTGAGAGCTTGAAATTTAAAGCTTCATCGCTTATGATCTCTGAAACCGTTGTGCCGGGCTTGACAAGCACCTCTGTGCAAGATCCATTGGGGCAGAGAATGCACACCTGCACCGGAGCCATTGCCATGGCGCCGCGGATCGAAAGCAAGCTAGAATCTGGCCAGAAATCCCATCAGTCCGCCAGATTGGCGTCCTCTTTGGGTACATACTGTAAGTGCCGAAAAGATGTTGCATTGTTGATGTACTGTACTAATCCTAGCGACCTACTATTCCCCAGTCAGACAAGGAACCGTGTACCTTGGGGAGCTACATGGATGCCCAAAACTCCAAAGTGAGGGTCTGGGATTAATTAGTCGACATACCGGCCCATTTACTGCTTTCAAGAACAAACCCCTGGAAAGCCGAAAGCCATCTCGCCTGTCAACCCCTCGAAACAGCGAGCCTACTGAAAACCCTAAACCCTATAAACCCTAAACCCTAAACCCTACTGAGCCCCCGGCTCTCCTGGAAATCCCACAATGGCATCAGCCGAGAGTCCTGCCTGATGTGGGGTGCATGCTTTGGCAGAAGTTTCGGGGGCGATGTTGGCACGCCGCCCCCCGGGACTAGTTAGGGTTTAGGGTTTAGGGTTTAGGGTTTAGGGTTTAGGGTTTAGGGTTTAGGGTTTAGGGTTTAGGGTTTAGGGTTTAGGGTTTAGGGTTTAGGGTTTAGGGTTTAGGGTTTAGGGTTTAGGGTTTAGGGCAAAATAGGGGTACCTTTTCGGTGTCCCCTATTTTCGTAAACCCCGACTTTGGGAGCCGCCGCAGGGTCGTTCGGGCGTAGGGCTTTGGACTCAGAGTTTGGGTTCGGGGGGGGTTCGGCTTGAGTTTAAGGTTTAGGGTTTAGGGTTTAGGGTTTGGGGTTTGGGGTTTGGGGTTTAGGGCTTAGAGATTAGGGTTTAGGGTTTAGGGTTTAGGGGAGAAGTTTCATGTGCTCGTCTTCAGAGCTTACGGTGCTCCAGCGGATGGGCACAGGGTTTTCAGACTCTGCGGCATGGCAGCAATGATGGCGACAACCCAGCAGGGCAACAGCCATGACGTCTAAAATGATACCAACATGAGGAGCAATATGGAACAATGCATGGCACAATGCAGGTAGTAGAAGATCAGCAACGACGTGGAAAGTACAAGAACTGATGGGATGGCAGCATCATAAAACATAATGCTGACTGGGATGCTTTGCTCACAGGCAGCATGCAACTTGTGCACCAAGTGGCATTTGGGACTTCCTTGCGGATCTTGCGGACGATCTGCCTGGAGCAAGACAGGAGACGTCTACTGGCTCAATCATGACACAAGCGCAGGGGAAATGTTGCAGCCCTGACCTATTCCACGCTCCCCGACCCTACCGCCCATGACCCCTAGAAACCGTCAACAGTAATTCATAGGGTTCGGGGGCATTCACAACGGAGTAGTTCTGGTACGCGCAGCCGAGCTCAAAAAATGTGATTTCAGTCAGGCTTATTTGACAACATCCCGAACACTACACAAAAAAATCAACAACATCCCGAACAATCCACAAAAAAAATCAACTCCCAAAAACAGAACCTCTTGAAGCCAGGCCTCCTCGCACAACGGTTCGGAATGTTCGCAGTGCTGCAGAGTAAATGCAAGAGGAAGCCCTACCACTTAATCTTCGCCGCCGTCTGCCCCGTACCCCACTTGGAGGTTCCGTGCTTGTGCTTTGCAAAGTAGGAGGACGGGCATCGCATGCATTAAAGAAGGGGCTGGTGGCAAATAGCATCAACGTCTTGTCGGCCCGAACAGTCATCCACTAAACGCTACAAAAGCGTTGCGTCAAGCTGTTGAGAATTGCTGTGGGTTGCTTTGGAGCCTCCATACATGCAGGACATACAGGGCAGGGGAGCTGATGGAGTTCGAGGAAAACAAGTGCAAAGGCCGTGCTGATGATAACATGTTTGTTCCATCTCGCATCTCGAGAAAAGAGCCGGCATCAAAGAACCAGGAAGGATGATCGTCCTTCTCAGAAGGCTCAATTTAATTGCGCGCGCCGCCTCGGCAGCCGGACCGGCCCACAGGAAAGGAGGAAAGAGGACCTCAACAAAAAAGGGGAAGGGGGCGGGGGGGGGGGCAGTTCCAGATCCCAAACGGGTTTCACAGGGAGAGAGGTCCAGGCAAGGGCTCCCCACAGCATCGGTTTGCAGCCAAGCGATGGGGGGGGTCCCACAGGGCGCCGGGGGGGGGGGGGGGGGGGGGGGGGGGGGGGGGTGCGTCACAATTTGGGTTGGGTGAGGGGAAGGAGACCGGATCCGTGTCTGCTTGTTCCAAACGCTTGTCGGCAGGAAGCCGAGGCGAATTCAGTGAGCAGCCACTGCCAACCGAAGTAACCCTCTCCCCAGCGCTTTGTACGTGGCATTTCACGGCCGCCTTAGGGTTGACAGGGCTTAGGGGCGTGCGGCTTCAAAATAAACCCGACCGGCTCCCTAAACTTTCAAAGGCAGTTTTTTTAGGGTTCAGGGTTCAGGGTTCAGTGTTCCGGGTTTAGGGTTTAGGGTTTCGGGCTCAGGGTTCAGGGTTCCTGAGCAAACCCAAGCCTGCCTGTATCGTTCCGCGGTGTAGCCTCGCTCCATGCGTCGGAGAACGTCATCATCCCCAGACTGGAACCTTGTCACGTCTTTGGGCGCAAAGTACTCTAGGGGCCCTTGAAACATTAGAATAGGGTTTTGGGGGGGGTTATTCTAGGATAACTTATAGAGGGATAAAAAGGTAGTGCTATTGGTAGTTATTCCGACTCCTATATTACGAAAGCCTCAGGTCTTTTGTTCAAAACCGCAGGCAGTTCAATCTTCCTTTCGTTTGCCGGGGCTCTCCCATGGAATGTTCTGCTGGTGTCGTGAGAAGTAGCAGGAAGATAGGAATGAGGCCTGTTGGGGGGATGGGTGGGGTTGGGATGTCCCCCCCTTATACTAACAGTCCTTAATACAAGTAGGGATTATCATAGGGGGTGCTGAAATCCCTATAAGGGACTGTTAGTATTCGGGTGGACATCCCAAGGCGGGGGGGGGGGGGTCAGCCGAAAGAAGAGGTTCACGGCAGTCCCGCTCTGAGCATCCCCAAAACTCTCCCAGCTACGGGTACCCCACCAATGAAGTGAGATTGAAGGGTTGCGCGAATGCTGCTTGCATCTCATTGGCCATCTCTAATTGCATCCCTTTGCTCCACATGCAGTTGAACTAAGTTGAGAACTACTGGGCCAACACTGTAACACCCAAAGCTGCAGCCGTGGTGCGGGATGTGAAATTGTTCGCAAACTGCGTCAACATCCTCGGCTTACGTGGCAGCCTAAACCCCAATCTGTGACCCCAAAACAATGGCACACCCAATATGGCAGCTGGAATGCCCTCACAGTGTGGATGAGCTCGTCCGAAATGTACCTGGCCATGCAGTGCACGCACTTTCCACAGAGCAAGGGCGGAACCAAAACCCAAAACCCAAAAAGGGTTTCGACAGTCGTGCAGATCCAACCACGCAAACAAAAGACAAAGAGCCCTATAGAACTACGCTAAGCCCTCAATTCTTCTGAAACCCTAAAACCCTAAAACCCTAAAACCCTAAAACCCTAAAACCCTAAAACCCTAAAACCCTAAAACCCAAAACCCTAAAACCCCAAAACCCTAAAACCCTAAAACCCTAAAACCCTAAAACCCTAAAACTCTAAAGCCCTAAAACCCTAAAGCCCTAAAACCCTAAAACCCTGAACCCCTAAACCCTAAACCCTAAACCCTGAACCTTAAACCCTAAACCCTAAACCCCAAACCCACCACTTGCCTGGGGTGCGACGTCAAGAACCGAAGCCGCTCGAGGCCCTTCGTGCCCCCGACGTAGCGTATCAGCTCCGCAAAGCTCCTCCGTAGCCCGTGGAGGTGCGTAGGGTTTAGGGTTTAGGGTTTAGGGTTTAGGGTTTAGGGTTTAGGGTTTAGGGCTTACGGTTTAGGGTTTAGGGTTTAGGGTTTAGGGTTTAGGGTTTAGGGGTTTAGGGGTTTAGGGGTTTAGGGGTTTAGGGATTTAGGGTTTAGGGTTTAGGATTTAGGATTTAGGATTTAGCTCTTGTATCGGCAAGGGTTGGAAGTTTGAGGGCTCTGCGGTCGGAGGTTTGGGTTGAAGATTCCGGGCTTTAGGGTTTTGGGGTTTAGGGTTTGGGGTTTAGGGTTTAGGGTTTAGGGTTTAGGGTTTAGGGTTTAGGGTGCCAAAGTTCTGGGTTTGGAGCTGACGGCTGGGGATGAATGGCACCTAGGTTGGGCCCTGAGAGCCCTCTGAAAGATATTCCTACATCTGACCCTCTTGAACCCAAGAAGGGAACCTCCGACACCCTGAAACCTTAAACCCTAAACCCTACACCCTAAAATAACCCAAAACCCTAAACCCTAAACCCTACACCCTAAACCCTAAACCCTAAACCCTATACCCTGACACACCCACTCCCAACCCGTCACTCCGCCTCCTCGGCTCAAGGTCTCGGCCCCAGGCGTCGATGTTTTGGCCTGGTCGTTCAGGGTTTAGGGTTTAGGGTTTAGGGTTTAGGGTTTAGGGTTTAGGGCTTAGCGTTTGCTGGCGGAGGAGGGGCAGGTGGGTGAGCACGGAGGTTCTCGAAGCAGGGCTTTCGAGCAGGGGGTGGCTTTGCTTTCTGGGACCCGAGTGCAGGGGCGCCCAACAGCCACAAAGATACGAAGCTTTCCGTTTAGGGTTTAGGGTTTAGTTAGGGTTTAGGGTTTAGGGTTTAGGGTTTAGGGTTTAGGGTTTAGGGTTTAGGGTTTAGGGTTTAGGGTTTAGGGTTTAGGGTTTAGGGTTTAGGGTTTAGGGTTTAGGGTTTAGGGTTTAGGGTTTAGGGTTTAGGGTTTAGGGTTTAGGGTTTAGGGTTTAGGGTTTAGGGTTTAGGGTTTAGGGTTTAGGGTTTAGGGTTTAGGGTTTAGGAATGCCGCTGGCCTAGGAGGGTGACCTCCCGGTAGCCTTCAGAAGTCAGCTGCGACACCTCGCAGTTAAGACTCTTTAGGTTTTCTCACACGTTTGAGAGTTTGCGAAGTTTACAATATTAGGGGGTACCTGATTGGGGTACTTACTATAAGGGGATCCGAATATTTGGGGACTATATTAAGGGCCCTCTATTCTCGTAAAGCCCCATTTTCTGCAGAGCCGGCTACATGCGAGCATGGGCCCTCATTGTGTCAACAGCAACCCAAACTCAAACCCTGAGCTTTTCTTGAGAGAATCGATCGTAATGCTTAAGATACATTTTAACGTGCGGATTAGAACAGAAGTGGAAACAAGAAAGAATGTAACACTCATCTGGGTGGCTGTCAACATTATGGTCCCCTTTTTGGATCCCTATTGAAATACGGCACCTAAAAATCTAGGGTACCCCAAAAGGGACCATATTTTTGACCACCCATCAGGAAGATGCCAAGAATGTCTTCGGAACCTGTACCTGCAAGTCCTATAAGTCCTAAGCCGAGCCTTGGGATGTTCCCCCTTATACTAACATGTAGGGTTTAGGGTTTAGGGTTTAGGGTTTAGGGTTTAGGGTTTAGGGTTTAGGGTTTAGGGTTTCGGGTTTCGGGTTTGGTCCCTAACAAGAACTACAATAGGGGGGGGGGGGGGGGTGTACTATCATCCCTATTTAGTAGGAGGGGGAACATCCCAACCTCATCCCCTCCTGAACCGAAACTCCCCCAGAATCCCTGCTGAAACCCCAACTGGACCCAGGGGTAACCTAGGAACAATTTGTACCCAAGGGATTTACAAGGGAACCCTAAACCCTAAAAAAGGAAATAAGGGCCACTCTGGGTCCCAGTAGCCCTAAACCCTAAACCCTAACTCTTAACCCTAAACCCTAAACCCTAAACCCTAAACCCTAAACCCTAAACCCTAAACCCTAAACCCCAAAGCCGCCCTGGCCAGCCTCGCGCTTCACTGCCTCCATGGGTCGGCTCTGCTCCGAGCCCCGGGTGGCGGGCACCACGCAGTAGGAGCAGCGCTCGTTGCCTCGGTACCCTTTTTAGAGCCCCAAACTAGGGTTTAGGGTTTAGGGTTTAGGGTTTAGGGTCTAGGGTCTAGGGTCTAGGGTCTAGTGTCTAGGGTCTGAAGGGGCAAGTCCTGAATCCGAATGAAACGCTTTTGAGGGTTCAGGGTACTATAATCCCTATTGAGGAGCCGTTAGTACTGGGGGGGAACATCCCAGGTCCAAGGTCTGGTGCTTGGAAGGGGTATATTGACTGCTCCGGAGATGTTGAAGGTTAGCCGCCCTCTTCTCTTGGCGCCTTTCCCGGGTTCTCGCTTCCCACCTGCCCCTGCTCCTCTCCCTCTCGCTGCCCCCCCGACCCCAATGAAAAAAACAAACAAGCGACACATGCCAGGGGAGTAATCGATGTCGGGGGGGAGGAGCGGGATCGGAGTCAGCGGTAGGGAGAGCGGAGAGCAAGACGCCGGGCATTTCTCCCAGTACCGCTGCCACTCCTGGTCTTACTAGTCTACCACCACTACGAACTAATAGTAATGATACTCCTACTAATACTAAGCTAGTATGGCCCTTAGAACCCTGTGAAAAATTTCAGAATATGATCCTCTTAAACCCAGTAAAGGAATTTAAAAATGTTCCAAGGTCCTACCGAGTAAGACGAAGAATGAACGGAATGAGGTTCACAAGGCTTACCGCTTCTCTCTGTAAGACTCAGCCCGCGACAGCCATAGATCACATTCACCCAGGCAGAGGTGCTGGACTGCCTGTTCTAAACCTTAGACTAGAAACCCTATAAACCCTAAAAACCCTAAAAACACTAAAAACCCAAAAACCCCAAAAAACCTAAAAACACTAAAAACCCTAAACACCCTAAACTCTAAACCCTTCAGCTGAGGAGGAGTGCACCTCAAGGAACCTCGGCCTTCAAAACTTCTACGCCCCCCGAAAAAGCCGCCCTCTGAAAAGTATTCCTGAATATGATCCTCTTGAGCCCAAGAAGGGGAACTCTGAAATGTCCCAAGGGCCTCCTAGGTTAGTTTCGGCTCAGGACCTTTCCTTTGAAGGAATCGGTGCCTGGGGCTTTCGGCGGCTTTGGGGGAGTCTTGGGGCCTCTTGTGGGTTTGGTGAAAGCCTGGCACCCTCAAAGATGCCAAAACAATCAAGGCGCAACTTCGCGTGCCCCTACAGACGCGAGTACGGACATGAGAGTGAACGTGAGAGTGAACGTGAGAGTGAGGTGAGAGCGCGAGGGCGGGAGCGAAGGAGAAAAACACCCTAAACCCTAAAAAAACCCTACACCCTAAACCCTAAACCCTAGACCCTAAAAGGGATAGCGGGGCCTGTTTGGCATCGTGACGTCCTCCATGATTCGGGCATCTGCCGTGGCGCAGACCTGACCGCCTCTCGCAGAAACAGGGTTTCGGGTTTCGGGTTTCGGGTTTCGGGTTTAGGGTTTAGGGTTTAGGGTTTGGGGTTTAGGGTTTAGGGTTTAAGCGGAGCAGGCTGACCCGCAAACCCCTGCCCTACTCCTTGAAACTTAAACTCATGATACCTTAACCCGTAGCACTAAACTTCTAAGCCCTGTCCTAAACCTAAACCCTAAACCCTAAACCCTAAAGGCCTTGCAGCGACTCACTCAGCACGTCGGCCAGACGATTGGCGTACTGCGGTCCGACCACGACGTCCACCTGCGCGGAGGTGAGGCTCCCATAAGGTCTGCTTTAACACGGAGCTTTGGGTTTAGGGTTTAGGGTTTGGGGTTTTGGGTATAGGGTTTAGGGTTTAGGGTTTAGGGTAGGTTTTGGTCTACTCAATCTCATCCCGAACTGACACCAGTCGTGACTCCACAACCCACCCAGCACGTGGCCCCGAACTCCTCATTTCATTGGCTTTTTGCAAGCCTTATTCATGCGCTCTTCTCGCTCTCTCAACCTATGCTCGTTTCACATTCATCTCAAGCTTTGGGGCTCGGGGAGGAGTTCTTTGGGACTCTGGGAGTTCTCAACATGACTGCAAGGAATGCAAACCTTCGACACATTGAAGCGCAACACACTCAAAGCTGGGAAGGATCTGCGGTTCAGGGATACCAGGTTCCAATGTGGGTTTAGGGGTTTAGGGTTTAGGGTATAGGGTTTAGGGTTTAAGGGTTTGGGCAAAATGGATTGCGCACACGACGAGTGCGAAGAAGCCGGGCCTCTAAGCACACATTTTGGCACGGTGCTAAGAGTCTGCGTCGTCCTGAAACATAGCCACCACGCATGTCAGGCCGATAAGCCCAGAATCCTAAACAAAATACCCCGGGTCCAGAACCCGCTTCCTGTTTATGAACAGCACCAGAACAGCTCGTAATTTGGAACTTGTTGTCGCACCCCTTTGCGGTGATACACCCGGTCTCAGACCAACAAGGTCTAGGGCTGTCGAGAGCTTTAACTACTATGTGCTTAAGAGCCCCCCCCCCCAAAAAAAAAGATAATCCCTACATTGCCCTTACAAGGAAGAATCATGAAAATTTTGGGGGGCTTCTTAACTAGGATGGCTCTTAACGCCCTCTGAAAAATATTCCTGTCCTAAATATAGTCCTCTTAAATTAACAAGAGAAAATACAAAAAATGTTCCAAGGGCCTACCGACTTAAGCAAATAGTAGTTAGTAACCCGAAGCACTACGTTAAGCCCTAAGCCCTAATTCAGCCCTAAGCCCTAAGCCCTAAGCCCTAAACCCTAAACCCTAAACCCTAAACCCTAAACCCTAAACCCCAAACCCCAATAGTAGTTAAGGCGTTCGATCACGGCCACGGCCGCAGTTATTCCCGGCCTCGGGGACGGCGCTGAGCAGCCCCTCCCCCTCCTGCTGCGCCACGCACCTCAGGGTTTAGGGTTTAGGGTTTAGGGTTTAGGGTTTAGGGTTTAGGGTTTGGGGCACGGGTGCCAGGTTTAAGCTGGCAGAGAGAGCAGCTGTTGAGCCAATGCAGATCATATTGCTCGTGTACTAATTCCCACCCACACCACCACAGCGACGACGACGGCTTCTGCTTCTCCCCCTCCCCTTACCACTCCCCCTCTACGACTGCTACACAACAACTGCAGGCGCACTCCCATTTTCCAGAGGCTAAGCAAGCACTGGCAGGGCTTAGACTTGTTACTTTAGGGTTAGGCTCAAGGTTGAAGATGCATACCTTGGCTTCTCCACAAGTCTGTCTGAATTCTTGAAAACCAAAAACTCCAACCTGACGCCCGGGTGCCCGCTGACCACGATGGTCACGTCCTCCCCCCGGCGTTTGCGCTGCAGGTGCGGGTCCAAACCTTTGGGGGCTCAGGGTCGAAATAGAGATTTCGGGTCGCAAGATATTTCAGGGCAACAAGCAGGGTTCAAGGTTGCACGTTGCATCACAGGGCTTGTGCCCCTAAGCCCGGGTTGGTTTGGCACGTTCAAGGGTTTCAGTGACTTCGGGCTTAAGGCGCCCAACCCACCCTAAAACGTTCAACCCCTAAACCCTGGTGCCCGAAGCCCAGAATCTAGAATCTAGAACTAGTTGGAGCCCAGAAGCGTGCATAGACCCTCTTCTCCGCCTGACCAAGAGGTGGGCGTGCAGCGGGCAGCGCGTGTGACAGGACCGCAGCGTGCACGGTGTCTACAAAGGGGCGATGGGGGTTAGGGTCTGAGCACCAGCTCTCCCACCTTGAGAGCCTGACTCTAGAGCTCAAGGATGTTGATGTTCGGGCTGTTGGGAGTGCAAACTTCAGTCTTCTTAGTCTGAGTAGCGTGGCTACTGTACCTGCTAGCTTTCAAGTTATACATCCATTTTGGGGTCGGCATGCTCTCAAGTCACAGCGAAAGCCCTAGAGAGCCTTGTCACGGATGGAGCAGGTGTTGAGCACGATGACATCCGGGTCCTCCTCTCAGCAGTCGCATGCGAAATCCCCAAATCACCAAAGCAAGTCACACTCACTCCAAACCACCACATCCTGCAACCCAAATAACCCCGGCCAAAGCCTCAGCCGAACCATGCGCTGTGGGGGGCGGGGGGGGGGGCGGGGGCGGGAGGGGGGGGGGGGGGGGGGGGGGGGGGGGGGAGGGAGAGCCCTTCGTTGTTTTGTGTTTGTTGGGGGAGCGGGGGTCCGCCGTCGTCCTCATTGCAACGGTTGAGTTCCAAGTTTGGGATCTTGGGTTTAAGGTTGAGGATTTTTGGCGGGGGGGGGCTTGAGACTGTTCGTGGCTTTAAAGCCAGAACAAGAGGGGGTGGTGCTGGCGTGCTTGGGCGTTAGGTTGGCCAGAGGTTGGGGTAGAAATTGCCCCTGCTGGAACTGAGACAGAGCTGAAAGCAACGTGGGTCGTTCGCCACCTTCGGGAATCGCTTCGTGAATCCTCGTTCCGCATGGCCAACAAAGAGCCCTCTACCCCAAAGGTCTTTCCTCAATAAACCCCAAACCCTAACCCCTAAACCCTAAACCGCACACCTCGGCCGCAGCCGGTCGCAAGCCTGCTGCCATGAGCTGGCCTTCAGGGCGGGCAAAGGTTAGGGTTTAGGGTTTAGGGTTTAGGGTTTAGGGTTTAGGGTTTAGGGTTTAGGGTTTAGGGTTTAGGGTTTAGGGTTTAGGGTAGCTATGGATCCTAGGCCTGCGGTTTTCTTGGGGGCAGGAACCCGTAGAACCCTAGACAGTGACTGCGGTGAGCTTCGAGTCTCTTACGGTCGAGCATCCTGCTGATCAGAGGTCTTGCCGTCCTTAGGGTTTAGGGTTTAGGGTTTAGGGTTTAGGGTATAGGGTTTAGGGTTTAGGGTTTACCATGGGCCTTTGGCCCTCATCCCTCTCTGAAAGCAGTGTAAGGCCCGATGGGCCTCTTCCCGAAGCCCTGCAGCGGCCCCACCCCCTACTCCCCTCTGCAAAGTCAACTTTGCCAGTGTGAAACCCTAAACCCTAAACCCTAAACCCTAAACAGGGAGGGGTCCAGGAAAGGTCCTCTTAAACCTTCTCCAGTACGACAAGGATGCACCAAAGAGGGGTATCTTGATTGTCAACTGTTTGGTTTATGGGAGGGGTGCACCACAGTAATGAGGGTCCCACAGTGAAAACATACTGTTGGGGTCGGGGATGCAGAGCAGGAGTAAACCCTAAACCTTCAACCCTAAACCCTGAACCCTAAACCCAAAGCCCGTTTTGATTTGAACAACGACAATGACGCGGGAAGAGTGCACCACACATAAAACCCGTCTCCAGACATGCACGCTTGCCTGCCCATTTTCGGAGCTCGCAGGCCTACTTGCGCATTCGCACACCCTAAACCCTAAGCCCTGAGCCCTAAACCCTAAACCCTAAACCCTAACCCCTAAACCCTAAACCCTAAAAACCCTAAACCCCATAGCCTCTAAATCCTACCAGCGCTGTCTCCCCTGCCTTCCATCCTCTCTGAGTCCGCCTGGTTCATCTGGCACCCCATGGTTTCCACCTTGCTCCGGTGGGCTTAGGCTTGAGGTTTTCGGGTGCAGGGGGTTTAGGGTTTAGGGTTTAGGGTTTGGGGTTTGGGGTTTGGGGTTTAGGGTTCGTTTGGCCCCTACAAGTAAGGACGTCAAAAGGGTTCGCGCCAGAAAGACAGGGAAGATGCCAGAAACACGGAGCTCTCATGGTCAGCGGATGTAGGGTACGCGGCGAAACTCACAAAGTACTGTTGCCAGCATGCCAGAATTTAGACGATTGGCACGCAGACCTCGAGAGGTTCAGACGCATTTGCAGAAAGCTGTGCTGATCAGCCGCAAACTCCCCAGATCCTGGACAGTAAACTCAGCAACCCCCGCTCCCTAAACCCTAAACCCCAAGGTCTCCCCCAGCTCTTAAGCTGCTGGCTGCGTAGGTCTTGTTCTGGAAGCCTCGTTCCAGCACCTCGCCTGTTTGTGAGTGGGGCTTGGTGTGTGTTTAAGTTCGGCTTACAGCAAATTTTAGGGGTCCAGGCAGTGTACTACACATCTTCAGCAAGCCCTTCAACACTCAAGTCCTAACTCCTAAGCCGGAAGACCCCTGCAAAATGCCTTGATCTCTCCGCTGAACCCGCAGATCAAGCATGACATCCTCCACACGGAGGACGTGCCAGCCTGCATCGGGCGGTTAGAGTTCAGGGCTTAGGAACTTTTGGGGTTTAGGGTATTAGGGTTTAGGGTTAAGGGGGGGGGGGGGTAGGACCTTTTTTGGGTGTTTCCGGCCCAGTGCCTGGGTCTTGGGGCTTTTGGGATATGGGCCATGAGCTTTGAGCTTTGGGCTCCGGCGGTGTACGGAGGGAGGTCATTGGAGACAAGCCCTTAACCACGAAGCCTTCGGCCTGAACAAGAGCCCACAAAAGGCTAAACTCATGAACACAGGAACCTTGAACCCTGTTCATCCTAGTTGCTGAGTACCCAGGTTAACCTCAGCTACTAGATTTAGGGTTTAGGGTTTAGGGTTTAGGGCTTAGGGTTTAGGGTTTAGGGTTTAGGGGCAAGGGGTTTAGGGTTTAGGGTTTAGGGTTTAGGGCTTAGGGTTTAGGGTTTAGGGGTTTAGGGGTTTAGGGGTTTAGGGGTTTAGGGGTTTAGGGGTTTAGGGGTTTAGGGGTTTAGGGTTTAGGGTTCTAAGTCAACGACTCTACGGCCTCTGCTTGTCTTCAGCTTGAGAACGTCGCCGGGCTGCGACTTGAGCACGACCTGCGCGAGCAAGGCTTCCTAAGCATACGCACCCGCGCACCTCAAGTACCCAACCTTAACCCCTAAACCCTAAACCCTAAGCCCTAAACCCTAAACCCCGAACCCTAAACCCTAAACCCCGAACCCTAAACCCTAAACCCGAAACCCGAAACCCTAAACCCTAGATCCACTAGGTTTGTGAAGCCATGGCTCGGCGGCAGTGGTGGCATGGCAAGGCAAGAACTAGAGGCTGCAAGCTGAAGGCGGAGGGCGTATGATTGAGGGCACACAGGAGAGGTTTAGGGTTTAGGGTTTAGGGTTTAGGGTTTAGGGTTTAGGGTTTAGGGTTTAGGGTTTAGGGTTTAGGGTTTAGGGTTTAGGGTTTAGGGTTTAGGGTTTAGGGTTCCGGGGCTCGGTTGGTGGAGAGCTGCGAGCTTAAGCATGGGAACATCCACAGAGACACATGGGTGGGTGGTCAAAATCATGGTCCCTTTTTGGATCCCTCTTGGAATACGGCACCTAGTATTTAGGGTACCCCAAAAGCTCAGTTGTCCAGTACCTAGGGGTTTTAAAGGTTAACCTTTGGGAATATAAGGGGATTATATTAACCCAAAAAGGTTAAAGGTTACCTACTCTACTACTAAGTTAGGGTACCCCAAAAGGGATCATAATTTTGACAACCGGCCACATGCAAAAGCCAAGTCATGTCTTCGGATGTCAAGCGCAAGTGAATCCCAAACCCCAAGGCTCCGAAATCCCTCGAAGGCCAAGAAACGCCTCCGATCTGCGAATCTGAGCCCTAAACCCTAAACCCTAAACCCTAAACCCTAAACCCTAAACCCTAAACCCTAAACCCTAAACCCTAAACCCTAAACCCTAAACCCCTTCCTCTGCCCCGGTTTGCCTCCCGCACGCTGGACGGCAGTAGTGGCTCCAGGAACGCGTCGCGCTTCCTTGGCTGCTTCTCACGAGCGCATGGGCAGCCCGTGGTCAGGGGTCTCGGGCATTTGTACTTATAGCAGTATTGGGGCAGGGGGTTTTTGGGGGTTAGATGGGTCGAAAAGTAGCCTGTTGAAAGCACTTAAGTTACTTGGCGCAGTTCTTACATGCCGAGATGCGCCTTGATGCTCAGAAAGCTCTTCAGAAGCAAGACCCTCATACTGAAAGTTACAGAATCTCTTTCCTACCCCAGACCTTTCGAGCCAACATGCTAAAGGCCTTGGGGCGTTGGGCGAACGAAGGCGACTACCCTCTTCCACTTCTGCGGCCAAGGCTCCCAACCCAGCCTTAGTAAAGGGGGCAGAGGAGGTCAAGCCTGCGCCCTGAACCCTTACCAGAAGGATCTAGGGTTCCGGATCCATGAGACCTCTGCGCTGCAGCTTCTTTGTGATTTGGGGCGAACTTATTCGGGCTGTAAGCTCTTGGGGTATGGCCTTCTCCGATGATGAGATTGAGCCATCCGAGCGTGTAGGCTCTGAGGCTTCGGGCGGTTTGAGGCTCAGGCTATTGCAGTAGGTTTGAGGGGTGTGGGAATGCCCAAGGCTTGCGGGCCTTTGCGCGCGGAAGCGTCTCTTCGGCTGGGATGAAGGCTCGCTCGCAGTTTGGAACCAAAAGCTACCAATCACTAGACCCTAAAACCCTAAGCTGGAGTTGGAGATTGTTCGAACTCAATGCTATGTACTGGGACGACGCACCCTCCTGCCTGGACTTACGCGTCGATGTTTTTTATTTGTACCCTAAACCCTAAACCCTAAACCCTAAACCCTAAACCCCTGCATCCCAGCAGCCAAGGTCGCCACTGGCTTCTGCAGACTCCTGGCGATTTCAGGCAGACCCCGCCCCCCAAGACTACTATGTATTTGCTTTAGAGCCCCCAAAAAATATTCTTCTGTAAGGGCAATTTAGGGTTTAGGGTTTAGGGTTTAGGGTTTAGGGTTTAGGGTTTCGAGGGAGGTCTCAAGCAAATGGCAGAAGAGGCTCCAATGCGTTCCAAAGGCTCTTTTCGCCCTGAAGGCTTGGACTGAAAGAACTGGCAGCTTAGGGTTTAGGGTTTAGGGTTTAGGGTTTAGGGTTTAGGGTTTAGGGTTTAGGGTTTAGGGTTTAGGGTTTAGGGTTTAGGGTTTAGGGTTTAGGGTTTAGGGCAGTTTTCTTCTTGTTCGGGGTCAGGACTCATGTCACCAGCAAACCACCAAAGCCTGAAGTGTCTTTAAAGATTCTTAGCAGAGCCTCGTACCAACTCCCATTTAGCTCCCTGCATACGGGGGTTTACCAAAATCGGGGACCCCTGAGATAGACCCGAAATAGAAGGACCACCTGAAATTAACGACCCCAACAAGGCACCCTTAACATCGTAAACCCCTATATGCCCAAGGACCAACTCCCGAACTTTTGCGGCACACGGACTGAACCCTAAACCCTAAACCCTAAACACTAAACCCTAAACCCTAAACCCTAAACCCTAAACCCTCTTCTCTCACCACAAATATCCCCAAATGCCCAAACTCTGAACCCTATGTTCCTTTGAACTTGAGCCATGCGCCCCACAGCCTCAACTTGATAAGCCCTACGATTCCACCCTATGAAACAGTCACTATCTCAAAACCCTGTAAAGCCCCGCAAGCCCCACAAGCCCTGTGATAAGCCCTGTAAGCCCCAACTTGGTAGCCCAGAAACCATATTATAATCGGGGTAGCCTTTTTGGGGGGGTTGGCTACCCTAAACCCTAAACCCTAAACCCCAAACCCCAAACCCTAAACCCTCTTCTCTCGCGGTTATGGTTACTGTAAATCGGGGGATTATCCCTTCGACCCTTGCGGCTGTACCTTGGGGTTTAGGGACCCTTCCTTCAAGATCCTTGAGGTAGTATAAGGGCCAGGTTTAGGGTTTAGGGTTTAGGGTTTCGGGTTTAGGGTGGCCATATTAGGAGTATCTTAAGGGGAACCTTTCCGGGCACAACCCTAGGGGCACGAGCCTGAAACCCTAAACCCTAAACCCTAAACAATCCCTGAAAGCCCTGACTGGGAGTCGGTCTCGGCACAGGCTGAGCGTTTCCGCCAGCTTGGGGAAGGCATCGGGATCCTCCAAAGCCGCCTGCTTTTGCTTTTGGTCTTTCTTGGGGGGTTTAGGGTTTAGGGTTTAGGGTTTAGGGTTTAGGGTTTAGGGTTTAGGGTTTAGGGTTTAGGGTTTAGGGTTTAGGGTTTAGGGCTTAGGGTTTAGGGTTTAGGGTTTAGGGATGTTTTTGTTCGGGGAGGGGGTTGGCATTTGGGGTTTAGGGTTTAGGGTCTGGCCATTCGGTTGTGAGGACTTAGGGCTGTTGGGCTTGGGGGGGATTTTGGTGTATGAGGAATTGATGGGAAGCGATGGTTATTGAAGGCTTAGGGCCTTGAGCTTGACAACAATGGGTTCAGGGTTTAGGGTTTAGGGTTTAGGGTTTAGGGCTTGTGGGGATCTCGGCCTGTGTCTCGTGATTAGCTTTGCATTCTCCAGGGCCATTCGAAACTGGTGGACCCTACGAGTTTCAGGAGCCGTAAACCGCTCACGTCTACTGAAGCTGTTGCTGCTTCAGTTGACGGAGGACACGCTTTAGGACAGTTTGGCTTGGACCCTGCACCCCAAACCCTAAACCCTAAAACCCTAAACCCTAAACCCTAAACCCTAAACCCTAAACCCTAAACCCTAAACCCTAAACCCTAAAGGGCTTGCAGCGGTGGGGAGGCTTCGAAGCCCTGCCTTGATCTCCGGAAGGGCTCCATCACAAGCAGCACCCTAGACTGTTTAGGGTTTAGGGTTTAGGGTTTAGGGTTTAGGGTTTAGGTTTTTCAACTGTCAGCAGCACCCCTTTCGGGTTTATGGATCTTGCGACACTAGGGCCCCCCCCCCCCCAAAAAAAGAAAAAAAAAACAACCTGAAATCCTGGACCCTAAGCCAAGAAGCCATATAAGCCCTTAACCCCGAAGCCTAAAAGCACCACCAAACTATACTGAACTTGGAACCCTAGAAAATGAAAAGTTTAGCTGTTTCTGGAGAACTGTAGTACCCAAAAGCTTTTTTTGTAACCCTAGGTCCTAAACCCTAAACCCTAAACCCTAAACCCTAAACCCTAAACTCTAAACCCTAATTCCCAAGTATTCCCGAAGCAAAGGCAACATAAGCTGGCCAGGCCTCCAAGACCTGCCGGCAGGATGGCGGAAACCAAAACAAGCGCCAGAAGGGTTTAGGGTTTAGGGCTTAGGGTGTAGGGTTTAGGGTTTAGGGTTTAGGGTTTAGGGTTTAGGGTTTAGGGTTTAGGGTTTAGGGGGCCAGCTACACAGCAAATTGCTTCCTTGCGGGCATTCAACAAAAGTAGGGGGTACCCCTAATATAACCCAAATCCCAGAATCCTTATTGTATAGGAACCCCCCAAAAGAGGGTACCTGTTTTCGGAAAACCCCTTGTCCAACTACACCAGAAAAGCTCGCCTCCTGGGCCATTGCTTCCGAGGCCAGCAGCGCATGGCGGCAGCGCGCCGCCACCACGCCACGGCTACGCTGGGCCTGGTACCCTAAACCCTCCTAAACCCTAAACCCTAAACCCTAAACCCTAAACCCTAAACCCTAAACAAAAGAACAGCTGATGTCAGCTGTGTGCAGCTCAAGGTATCAGCTTTCCTCGTTTTGGGCTTGGGCTTCGAAGTGGCTTGCGTGTTCAGAGTTTCAGGTTCAGGTGCTTAGGTGAGCGAGTGACCGGGATGACGCAGGGTTGTGGGATTGTTGATGAATTGGCGTTTCAGGGCTAGGGTTTGAGATGGTTTGAGTGTTGGTTCGGAGACGGTGCGCTTGGGGCGATACGCCGGGGCTTGGGGGGAAACGATGCTTTTGTGAACCGGTGCTTTTTCGTGGCGAAGAGTGAATGGATGTGAATCGTGTGGTCAACCAAAAAGCATCATCGGGTGGGGTGGTTTGATGAAGCCGTCGCCATACACGGCACCTGCATACACAACCCCTGCAACTACACCCTAAACCCTAAACCCTAAACCCCCCCAAAACCAAAACACTGAAACCACCCAGGGAAGTGGCCCCAGCGAGCTCGTCAGGTTTGCATGTTGCAAGGGAAACAAACCCTAAACCCTAAACCCTAAACCCTAAACCCTAAACCCGAAACCCTAAACCCTAAACCCTAAACCCTACCGGTAGCAGACTGCACCTCGCTGCGGCGCAGCCATGCGAGACGCTCCTGCATCTAAGGCGCTGAAGGAAGTCACCAACTCAGAGCCTGAAGCCTCTCTAAACCCTAAACCCTAAACCCTAAACCCTAAACCCTAAACCTTATAAACCCTAAACCCTAAACCCTAACCCCTCAACCCTAAACCTTTAGATCTTCGTTGCCGAAAAGACGGGAGACGTAGCGTACATCTGGCAACACATCCCCGAGCCTTCGCTCTTATGAGTAGGAGCTTGGAGAGCTGGGTGTTCGAGACTCGGGGTTTAGGGTGTAGGCGATGTGGGGTTTAAACGGTTTAAGCAGTCTCTAATCCGTGAATACGACAGGCCGAAGAGTAGCATCCACCAGAACAAAAGTAGGGATCCTTGGGCGCAGGGGACGTGACGACCGCATCCTAGAATCCCCCACGCCTCCCCCAGCGCGGACACAAACCCCGAAACGAGTTCCTTCCCTAAAGCGAACGAAAGCCTACCTTAAAGGGCATGGGCACACAGAAGGGCTTTTTGGATTCGGGGGAACTTGAGGCAAACTTAGTTGCTCTACATGTTTGGGAAAGCTGCATCCAAGCCCGAATGATGAACCCAAACCTAAACCGGGAGCCTTTGTCGCCTCGCTTCGCTTGCGTGCCACACCTGGCATGGCACATTTGGGAAGGAACTCGAGGAAAGAGCTAAGGGCTAACCCGAAACAAGATGGCTCCAAAACAAAGCCAACAACCTAAGGCCCTTCAGCTCGAAAGCATGTGCCCCAGCTTTTCTTTTTTGTGACAACGCATGCATGTCCTCATCTTCGGCAGAGGGCGCAGAAACTGCCATGGCAACAGCCCTGAACCGAAAGGCTTCAAGTGGGCAGTTGTTGAGGGTTCCTTCCGCTGTCGCCTGTGGTTGTAGCCACCGACGCACAGGCCAGGCTGATCCTGAAACAGCTTTGGGAGGGACGAAATGAACCCCAAAGTTAGATTCCCTGACTACTATAATTCCTATTCAGGTTCATAAACCCTTTCAGGGTTC